GTGTCCTTTGGTTTTTGTTGTTGCTTTTTTTTTTTTTTTGGTACCGGGATTCGAACTCCGGTCCTTGCGTTTGCGAGGCTGGCAGTGGAACCACTGAGCTAAGTCCCTGGCTGTTGTTGCTTTTAAGAAGTCTAATTTTGAGGATTTTGCTAGGTATGGTGGCACATAACTGTAATCTCAGCAGTGGGGAGGCTGAGGCAGGAGGATCATCACTATGAGTTCCAGGCCAGGCTAGGCTACACAGCAAGAGCCTGTCTCAAAAAAACTGGAAAACAGTTTCTTGGGAGGATTTTAACTTTTCCTTCTGGATGTTCTGGAGATGTGCTTGGTTTTGGTGCTTTACTATGGTGTATAACAGGTGGATTTATTTGTATTTCTCCTACCTGAAATTATTTGTTTCCTGGATCTCAGTATTCTGTCTCTGCCCAGTTCTGGAAATTCAGCCTTTACCTCTCCTGTCTTTGTCTCCTGTGCTCTGTCTCACAGCTGTCCGCACTCTAGCTAGTTGAGGTTCCTGCTCTGGTGCTTTCCTGCTGGGGCAGTTTGATGTCCCCTCCTGGCCCCTTCCCTGCACTGTCTGGGCTGGGTTTTCGGGTGTCCTGTCTCATGCACCTGCAGTGACATTTAGCTGTCAGTCGGAGGCTGAAGTGCTGCTGTTGTCCTGCTGGGCCGATTCCGCAGTGGGAGCTGCCTGGTCCTAAATGGATTTGGACCAAGGCTGGGAAGTCTCAGGCTAGAGCTTTGCCTTTGGGCCGCTTTGCTTTCCAGCCTCTCATATTTTCTAGCTTTTTGTTTTGTTTTGTATTTTATTGTGTTTTCTGGTACCGGGATCAAACACAGGACCTTGCACTTGCAAGGCAGGCGCGGTGCCACTGAGCTAAATCCCCAGCCCTTTATTTTGTTTTTTGAGACAGGGTCTCTTTATGTATCCCAGGCTGGCCTTGTACTAGGGAGATCCTCTTACCTCAGCCGCCTGAGTGCTGAGATCACACGCGTGCACCGCCATATCCTGCCGACGACCTCACACTGTTCATAATGGGGTATTATGGTTATAGTTTTAGAAAAGGAGATGTTCAGATGAGATTGAAAGTAAATTTCCTCAGCCTCTTTTTTATGTGCCACTTGGCATTCACCTGGTGGGGTGGACACAAGAAATAATGGCTTTGGAGATCTGGGTTTGTACCCGGGCTCTGCTGTTTGCTAGCTCTTTGACCTTAGGTGAATCGGTAACTTGTGCATTTCAGTTTCTTTCCTTGATACAGGGTCTTGCTTATAGTCCAGGTTGGCTTTGAACTCTCAGTAATCCTCCTGCCTCAGCCTCCTCTAAGTGCTGGGTTTACAGGTGTGTGCTGCCATGCCCAGCTACAGTTTCTTTTGCTTGCTCTCTCTCTCTCTCTCTCTGTCTCTGTCTCTGTCTCTGTCTCTCTCTTTCTTTCTTTTTTTTTGGTACCGGGGATCAAACTTGCACCTTCAGTTTCTTAATCTGTAAAATACAAACTAAAACATCCAATTCACAGGCTGGTTGGAAGCACAGTGAGAGCTATTCAGTACTATATGGAAGGGGTAGGTATTGTAACTGTTCTGTACTATAGGAAACTACACAGGCACGAGGCATTCATTAGTCAGGTATCTGGCATATTGTAATGGAAGTATGCTGATGGTCTCTGTTAAGTGAAAGAACTCAGACCTGCCATTGAACTGGATACGGTCACTGTCATTGAACTTGGAAGCTGAGAGTGTTATTTGGGGCGTACAGATCCCAGGGTGAGGAGGCAGAAGGACTGGGCAGGAGGGGCCTGGCCAGCCCCTGGCCTGATGGTGTCCTGGTGTTTGTGCTGCTCTTTTCCTTGTGCCTCTCTGGTTCTGCTATTTCTCCTGCTCTCTCAATGCAAACCCTAGATGCCCAGGGTACAGCAGCCTGCGAGGGGCATTGGTACAGGCCCATGGTGCTGGTCGGAGCCCTGCTGCAGCATCAACTGCTGCCTAGGAGCCTCTGCCCGCTGTGGCCAGACCTTCTTTTCCTCCAGACAAGCTGAGTGGCTGCATGTTCACCGGTTTCCCAGTGTTCAAAGAGTGGCCACAGATCACATTTCAGAATACTCGTGGGCTGTGGGGCCATACAGGATCAGTCTAAAGGCAGGTAGTGTGCTCCTGGGGTCCAGCCTGTCACTTCTTACCACACCAGATGGGGAGGAAGCCAGGGACAGGGGTTTGCCGAGTGCCCAAGCTCACAGGAAGATAGCTACAGTCAGGACCGAAACCAGTTTTTATGCTCAGGGGCTAGAGCTTCTTTTGCTGCTGGATGTTGAGCCTTCCCAGCCTCTACTGTTTGCCAAAGCTATCACCAAAGGGGCACTGAAAGGAAAATCTAAGAAGAACCTTTCTTGGCCCAATTTTTATTTGTATTTTAAATTTTTTTTTGAGACAGAGTCTTGCTATGTGGCCCAAGCTGGCCTTGAACTCACAGCAATCCTCCTGCCTCGGCCTCCCGCGTACTGGAGTTGTAGGTGTGTGCCACTGCACCCGGCTCCCCAGCTAGTTTGTGGACACTGTTTTTGAGCTCACATTGTTCCTGAGTGGTGAGCTGGCCTCTTTACTGTGCACCTGGGAGGCGCCCTTCCTTACACTCTGGTTTCAGAGTTGAGCAGAACTGGAAAAAGCATCAGACCATGGCATTCCCAGTCCTGTACCAACCTTAGAGAATTTACCTTTTGTTGTTCCCCACTTCCCACCATGAGGATCCAACTCCATCCACTGAGCTACATCCCTGGCCCTTGCCTTTCGTTCTTGATGTTTGACCAGACATCAGTCACATCCAGTTCTGTTCAGCATCTGCCGGCCAGTTACTCCCAGACATCAGTTTGTAGTTTACTTCAGTGAAGGTTCAAAGGCAGCTTAAGGCCAACCCACAGCTCCAGAAGTCTCCTAACACATCTCTCTCCACTCAGTGAGCCGTATACCATAAAAGGAACAAAAAGCAGCTTATTCCTTCATTACTGATTTCCAGTGGGTTGTAAATTAAGCACCAGTTTCTTGCATTTGTAAAACAGGAAGCAGGATCTCAGAGACCCTGGTCAGGGGTGCCCTGAGCTTTCATGCGGTCAGGTAAGACCCTGTTGTGAGGTTGAAGGAGCAGGTGTCTCTGAGACAAGTAGTTAAATAGTCCAGGCTGGCCTCAAACTCTCCTCAGTCCTGCCTCTGCCTCCCGAGTTCTGTGATCACAGACATGCGCCATCATGCCTGCCTGGTGAGGGACAGTTTTGGAAGAGCACACTAATTTCACTGGGCCCTACTGCCAGTGTTTCCTTCTCTGCTCTGCCTTTTCCTAGGTCATGGTGCCTCAGCTGTGTTCATTAGTCCCTTTCTCCATTTGCTTCTTCCTGCAAGTGGGGGTAGAGTGGCAGCTACTTGCTGGACTGTCAGAGTGTAGGAGGCGCTTAGGGCTGGGCTGTGCTGGGTAGGGCTCCCTGAGGGACACTTGTAAGTATGGGGTTGGTCAGCGTTGTCATTTATGATATAAAATACAACGATGTCCAAAACGGTCATCACTGACTGTATGAAAAATATGCCTATTGGTGTTAATTTAACTGAATGGATTAGCTACTTGGTCCTTCCTGATTAATAACTTTTATCACATGTTTCTAAATCACCATGTCTTGAGGACTGAAACAGACTGATGTCCTTCTTGTCTTTCACAGACAGCTTTAGCTCTGGCCATTGCTCAGGAGCTGGGGAGTAAGGTTCCTTTCTGCCCGATGGTGGGAAGCGAGGTTTACTCGACGGAGATAAAGAAGACAGAGGTGCTGATGGAGAACTTCCGCAGGGCCATCGGTGGGTACCGTGGGTGTGGAGGAGTGGCTTCTACTGAGTCCTGGGGAGATGCCCTCCGTGATGTGTTCTTGCCCTGCACATTGCCATTGTCTTTACAAACAGAACAACCAAACTGCAGCTTTTCAAATTGAGCTTCTGCAGCAGTTGGAGTGAATGTGGAGCCCAGTTACAGAGCTGGGCTTCTTGATGTGGTCAGGATAGATGGTTTGGCTTGGCATGTAGCTGAGGGCTAGAGTGTGTGCTTAGCATATACAGGCCTTGGGTTCCTGCCCAGCAAGTCCTCCCCCAATGTGGCTGTAAAGCATCCTTTTAAGAACAAGTCCGATTTTCCTGGCAGCAATCTTCTGCTTTGAGAGACAACTGTCTGCTGAAAAGGTTGGGACTTGAGCCAGTGCTGTTGTATACTAGACTGCCAGAATGCTCTGGTGCTTGGTGGTGAGCCAGGCGAGGCGGCCTCTTAGAGAGGAGATGCTGTGTGGGCACTGGCAGAGCCCTGTGCCTGTGATGCTGCCTCCTCTGTCTTTGGGCTTCCAGAGTGGTGCCAGGCTTTTGCTCCCTCCCCAAAAAGGATCAGTCTACATTTGCTTGCAAAGAAATGGAGGCCAGGCCTGGTGGTGCATGACATTAATCCCATGTACTCCAGAGGCTGAGGCAGGAGGCTTCCAATTTCTAGGCCAGCCTGGGCAACTTAGTGAAACTGCCTCAAATAAAAAACACCAGAGGTGTAGCTCTGGTACAGCACCTTTAGGTTCGATCCGCAGTGCTGGTAAGAGGAGAAAAGAGAAAAGAAGGAAGAGAAGGTGAATAAGCCTCAGAAAGTTAAAGAAGTTGCTAGTGACCTGTCTGATTCCCTTTGTCCAAGCACTGCAGATTTGCAGTGAGGAGAGAATTGTAAGTCTTTCAGCCCCTTTCTGAATGTTGGTCTAGTGCTAGGCAAACCCTTAACTTTCCTCAGATTTGCTAATAAAAATAACTTACTCCCTTAACTATTACTACTACCTTTTATTAAGCTGAATGATTAAAAAAAATTTTTTTTGAGAATTTTTGACTTTTTATTTCACTGATGTAGCTCCAAGGGCCTAGAGCTGTACCTGAATGTCCTTAGGGATGTGTTATGTGCAGGTACTGACTCCCCACAAGGAATGTAGACATTATGTACTACAAGCATACTAATAAAAATAGAAAGAAAAAATTTGTTGAGTAAAATAATCCTCTGAAATTCATTCTGTTTTCTCCTTTTTTTCTTGTCCCTTCCTTTTTCCTTCCCTCTTCCCTTGTTCTTCCCATTTGAACATTTTCTTCCCTGTCCAAATATCTATTATACATTTTAGTCTTTATTTCCACTTCCAGTTTCCCACACCAAAGAAACAATGCGGTACTTAAACATGTGTGTCTGATTTATTTCACTTAAGAGTTTGGTCTCAAGGTCCATCTATTTAGCTAGAAATGTTTCAAGCTCTGGATGTTTAGTTTTTTGTTTTCTTCAGTTTTCGCTTTTAAAAACAAGGCAGCCAGGAAATGTCATGTCCATCTCCAGGCACATGTGTGCAGGTCTCTAGGGTGTAGTTGTGGGGTCATAGTCACGACACTGGCCGAGCCTGTACACATCACAGTCCCGGAACGAAGGTTGGCATTCAGAAGATGGAAACTTCCTAGAAAACGTGGAAATGATGAAAACTTGACACTAGTAAAGTCTTGCTTAGGTAGGGCTTTGGAAAAGCAGCTGGAGGGGCCCGGAGCCCATGGGGTCTGGCTTCAGTTTGACAAGGTCCTTTTGTGGAGCCAGGCATGAGGGTGAGGGCGGACGAAGGATGGAGAAGACGAGTGGGTGTTGGCGGCAGCGTGGTCTGGACCGGTGACAGCGGAAGTGCTTCCAGGTCTGTTTGCATGCGAGTTAGGGCTGGCAGGATTTCCTGAAGGGTTAGATGTGGGGCGGAAGCGAAAGGAAAACGGGGCTCCTTTGAGAGATGGCAAAGCACAGGGAGGAGCCGTGGCTGCCAGAGTGCAGGGCCCGTGTTTGTCTCTGTAGCTCTAGTTCCTGGTGCAGAGTGGGTACCCAGTGAGGTTTTCCTGCATAGGGAGAGAAGCAGGTAGACCCTGGAGCAGAGAAGCCTAGGGCAATCATGTGTGGTGACAGACAATAATAGTGTCGGTCTATGGGCCCTGGGTGCTGTCACGTGCCCCACTTCTGGCCTTTGGAGGATGCGGCTGTGCCCATGGCCCCTCAGGTATGGCCAGGCACCCCCCCCCAGCACTGCAGTCATCTATTTTCCAACCAAGTCCCTGTGAGCATTGGATGGTGTCATCCCATTTCTCACTCACTGTTTCGTGGTGCTGGGGATGAAGCCCAGGCCTCGCTTGTGCAAGCCTGCTGTTGTGACCAGAGATGGTGAACTGCCCTTACCAGTAAAAGTGGTGTCACTTTGAATGTGGACTTTCTTTAAAAATTTAGCCCAATGGGCCGGGGATTTAGCTCAGTGGCACCGAGCCCGCCTTGCAAGTGCAAGGTCCTGAGTTTGACCCTTGGTACAGCGTACAGCAAAACAAAACCAAAACAAACAAACAAACAAAACCCCCCAAAAACCCTGCCCAATATTTCTTAGTGGAAATATCTTTTACCAGAAAATAGGAATTTTGTTTTTGTTGCCTGATAAGCTCAAGTGTAGCAAATACCTAAAGAGCACATAAAACACTAGCTAGTTAGGAAATAAACCTTGATGCATTTGCCATGCAGCTCAAAACACAGAGCACAGCCAGCAGCCGGGACGTCACAACCCTCCCTGGTTGCAGTCCTCTCTGCCAGGTGTGTGATGATGGGGAATTCATACTCGGTCATCGACACCGCATATGCCCACATCTGTAGCCTACACACTGGGTCTAAATGGAACCACATTGTGTGTGTTCTTCATGTTTGTCTTCTTTAACTCGACACTATGTCTTTTGGCTTCAGCCCACATTATTGTATGTATTTTATTCCTTGGATCCTTACATTTAACCCGGAGTACCAGTAGAGATGACTCAGGATTGCCCAGGGTTTAAAATCAGCACTCGGGAGGCTGAGGCAGGGGGGACTGCTGCTAGTTCAACGCCCGCCTGGGCTACATAGTGAGACCCTGTCTCAAAAAAAGAACGGAAACAAAAAGGCTTCAAATCTCTCGGAGTGCTTTTTGTTTCTTTTCTCTGTATGTTTTTGAGGTGGTGTTGCAGCCCCGGACCCACAGGTGTGTGGCCACTGTCCCCAGCTGACTTTCTGATTTAAACATGTGCCAGTGTTTTTATCAATCTCGTCATTTTAATGATGTGAACAATAAGCTGTTACAGCTGATTTGAATATCTGAATACTTTAAAAAGTTTATTTAGGCCGGGGATTTAGCTCAGTGGTTCCGCCACCTGCCTCGCAAGCACAAGGACCCGAGTTCGATCCTCAGTACCAAAAAAACCCAAAGTTTATTTAGAAACTAATTTTGGGGTAGTGATAAAATCTATTCAAACTGGCCTTCAGATGTGCTTCTGTGTTTGGATTGCTTAAAGGTAGCTTAAATGGTTTCTGATGCAAGTGACCTTGGGATCTGGGCTGCAGTTTGCTGTTTTTGAGGGGAAGGGACAGTGTGATTCTTTTGATGGCAGCAAGGTGAAGAGAAATTTCTTGACCCCGCCACAGTATGAAAGGGCAGCCGCTGACCGCTCCCACCTCCCTTCCTTTGAATTCCTGCTCGGTGGGCAGGGGCGGGAGGAAGTGAGAGCCCACCAGAAATGAAACGCCAGTAGTCTGTGCCGTTTCCTTGACATGATGAAGGTCCCTGTCAGGGATTTAGAAACCCGAGCCAGCAGATGAAACCTGTGTCATTTGTGTTGCCGTTGCCAGAGATAGCGCGAGCTCGGCCCCTTTCTTGGCTAACAGCCGGTCCCATTGTCCTCCAGCAGCATCCGGGCCACTTGTCAGCACGGAGCAACTACTAAACAAATGTGGGGCTAGTGAGAGATGGGAATGCCTTTCTTCCCGCCCGAGGCTCATGTCAGATATAGGTGAGCATTCCAGTGGAAGAATTTATCTCCCTGGGCTGTCAAAGATTTGATTTTTTTTTTTTTTTCAAAAACTAAAGTTCCCTTTAAAAGTAAGTCATTTTCCAAGTTGGTCACAATCTTCTCTTTGCAAAGATTCGTGTTGTTTGGAATATTTTTTTCTTGCTCTTCAGTAACTGAGGACTTGGTACAGCAGAAATGAAACCTGTCCTCTCTTTTGGGACTATTCCAAAACTTCCATTTGTAGCTATCAGATGGAGGAAACTTTTCCTCCCCTGACTATCTGAGCGTCTCTGTCCCTATTGGGTTTCTAGGGGAAGGCGCCCACTACACGATTAGATAATGTGCAGGTGAAGTGGGAAGTGCCCTGGAGTACCTGGCACCCTGCGGGACGCTTCCATATCAGGACAGACAGCTTGGTGGCAGGGACACCAGAACCACATCAGGGCATCCTGCCCTTGGGAGCAGCTTCTGTTTCCGTGTGTGTGTGTGTGTGTATATGTGTGTGTAGAACAGAGTTCTTCATTATTCTTTAGATAAGGGCCTCACTCTGGGAAGACTTTGGGATCTGCTAGGGAGCTGTGAGCTGAGAATGATGAATGATAGTAACCCAAGCCCAAGACTCGTGGGGCATGGAATGGTAGATGCTCCTCAGGTGGGTCTGAAGATTGAGCACTGCAACCAGGGGCCAGCAGAGGCTGAGAGCAGTGTCCCTAACCCAAGCTGTCTGTGTCCCTCCTTCACCAGGTCCCATGGAGTCGCTTACTTACTTGTTTCTTCTAACTCAACTTGATAACTTTGTGTAGACACAGGCAAGTGCAGAGTGTGATGGGCGGCCTAGTGGGTTCCTGTAAAGAAAACTCAGGAAACCAGCACCCACTTGAGAAGGACTATCACCTGTACCCCTGAGCACCTTTGTGTCCACTTGTGATCGCCATCTCTGCTGCCCCAAGTGAGGGATGGTCTTTATTTATTTATTCAGTGCTGGGAATTGAAGCCAGGTCCTTCTCACTGAGCTACGTCCCCAACCCTTTTTACATTTTTTAAAATTTGAGGTAGACTTTTGCTAAGTTGCCCAGATGGGACTCAAACGTGTTATGCTCCTGCCTCAGCCTTCTGAGTGCTGGGATTACAGTGTGCACCATCACACCTGGCTTTCCATTCTTGTGAGTGGCATAGTGTGTTTAGACTTATTGTTTGAATCAAGACATAAACAAGTGTATACATAATAGATTGGCGTGTGTCTTCCATCTCTCTTTTTCCCCCTGGGGACACAGTATAAAGGAGACAGAGACAAGAGTTGCACCCACGGGCTGGCAGAAGGGTCAGTCGGCACATGCTAGTGGGCACATGCCAACTGGGAGGGGGCAAAGGACAGAGCAAGGTTGTGGAGGTTGAGAGTTGTGGCCCTAGGGTTGGCCCAGGAGGTGGCCCTGGTCCTACGGCCAGAATCCTGGGTCTGTCACGGGGCAGGAAAGGGCCACCTCTTCCTGCTGTGAGATGGAGCTGGGCACTCACCCTGGCAGTGTCACAGGGCTGAGCTGCAGGCCCCTCCTGCAGTCCTCACTGCTCAGGGGTTCCAGGGTGGATGAAGAAGCCCCTGCCAGGAGAGGTTAGTACGATAACCTGTGGATGTGGTCTGCCAGCTTGCCTACAAGTCAGGGCCCTCCAGTGTACATCTTCCAGTTCACGTGTGTCCAGTGTGACCCGAGAATTGCTGGCAGCCTGGGGATGTGGCGTGGCCCGTCGGTGGGCCTATAAAATCCTTTTGACAATAAACTTAATAGCTGCTAACTCCCTCGTGGCTTGGCATAGCCTCAGAGGAAGCCATTTCATTCCTTGACCTGGACTTGGGGTTGTGGAGAGGGGTGGTCTGTGTGTGCATGTGAGCGTGTGTATGTGAGGTGGGTGTGAAGCAGTGTTCAGCGATGTGCTTTTGTCTTCCTGTTGAACACCTTCAGTTACCAGGAGGAAGACTCTCTTCCCTGTCTTCTCATTTTAATGTGATGCTAGGGGTGTCATGGAGGGATGAGGAGGTTTACTCCATCGGGCCTGGCTTTCACTGAGTGCTGAGACTGGGATTTCTGTGCCCTTTGGCCACCCCCCACCTTGAGCCCTAGGGCTGTATGTGGGCCGTGTGGAAGTGTCTGCAGGTGTGCCTCCCAGGTGCTGGGGTGCCAAGTGACAGTGCCCTTGCCCTGTGTGACTTTGTTCACTCGCCCCTTCCTGTGTGCCTGCCACATGCTTCTAGGCCCTGGGCTGTGCTGTGCACAGCAGGGAGTGGTCTGGGTCACATGTCATGGCATTGTGTGTCCCTGTGCCGTGGACGTGCAGGTCTCCGGGAGGTCAGCATGGAGAAAGCCTGAGAAGACAGTGAGGAAGCTTCCTCTTACACTGAGTCTGCAGGCAGCTGCCCACGGCTCTGGGAAGCAAAGACATTGTTCAAAGAGGAGTGGAGACCACAGTTCTTAGATAACGAAGAGACACATGTTAAACAGCTAATCAGGGCAATATTTAGAGTGAGGAGAGAAATTTTCTTCATTTACCATATTCTTTATTTTTGGTATTGAGGATTGAACTTGGGAGGTAAGCAGCAAAACCACTGAGCTAAATCCCTGGCTCATTTACCATATTCTGATACAAAAACTAAGTGCTGTTGCTCTGGGGACAAGTGCTGCTATTGTGCCCGGGGGGGCTGTGACCTTAGCTCGGTTCCTTTGTCCGGGGGTCCGGTACGCTCAGCCAGAGCCCGTGCCGGCCAGTGTGGTGTCGTCTCTGGGCACGAGCCCTGCTGGCTCTTGTGTCTGCGCTCGGCCGGGACTGAGGTGGTGACTGAGAGTTTCTGAGTCAAACGCAGAGAGGAAGGCGGTGCCTTTGGTGCCACTCACCAGTGGAGTCGCCTGCTGTGGGGACAGAGACCAGATGAGCAGCTAATGCTATGTCTCACCCTCTGAGGTCTGGGGCAGTTTTGAGAATCATAACTTCTCTGGCATTGAACCTAGAGAGTTCCTTTGAAAGCTGAAATAAAATTGCTTTTCCACATTGCTGAATAGCAGCAGCTCCAGTTTGTATTTATTGCTTTTCTGCCCATGGTGACATCCTTAAAGTTACAGCACTTTATTTTTAATCTACCTATTTCTTTATTTTTATGGTGCTGGGGATGGAAGCCAGGCCTTGCGCATGCTGGGAGAGCACTTACCATTGGGCTGAACCTCCAGTGCACCATTCCTAAGGGCGATTTGTCGTTCTCTGTGATGTGGAAGTTTGGGGCTAAGGAGATTATAAGAGAGCTATTGATGGATTGATTTTGTGGGGAGGGTTCCGCTGCTCATTGTGGCCCATCTGTGTCCCTTCCAGGGCTTCGGATAAAGGAGACCAAGGAGGTCTACGAAGGCGAAGTGACAGAGCTAACACCGTGTGAGACTGAGAACCCCATGGGAGGGTACGGCAAAACCATCAGCCATGTGATCATAGGACTCAAGACCGCCAAAGGCACCAAGCAGCTGAAGGTGAGTGTCGTCCCAGGGCTCTGTTCTCTTGAGCCTCCCGGCACTGTGTAGCTTTCAGCAGATGGTGTGACCTGTCTGTGTCCGGGGTGCCTTGCCTGTGTGCTGTGGGTCACAGAGCCGTTGGAGGATTGTGTGTGTATAAAGCAGTACCCAGTACCCAGTGGAGGGCTTGGACACAGGAGGACTTACTGAAGAAAGCCGTTATTTTATTTGTTGTTTTTTGAGGTAGTATCTCACCAAGTTGCCCAGACTGGCTTGGAACTTGTGATCCCCCTGCCTCAGCCTCCTGAGTGGCCTAGGATTACGGGCACTCCTCACCCTGGCTCACCTTTTTTATTCACTCCTAGGAAATCACATATGTATGATAAACATTACCTGGGGTTAAGCCAAGGAATCACCTCTGCCAACCTGTACCCTCCTTATGACCATGGGTGAAGGTCTAGGCCTTAGTTTTCCCAGTTTCTAGTGCTCACCTGCACAGAAAGCGGTGGGATAGCAGTAATGGTGATGTGATCGTGGGGCACACAGCTCTTGGGGGACCTCTGTAGACACCTGATTGCAGTTGCTCATGTGCCGGCCTGGAAACCTGAGTCAGGGCTCTGTGGAGAGGACACTGCGAGCTGTTGGGGACCTTCCTCAGCACCTGTCCCATAAACCTTCAGGAGGCGGGCAGCAGGTGCCTGGGAGCAGTGTGACCTTTGGCATCAGAGTCTTGTGATTAACTGTTCCAGGCATGTGGCATTAGGCAAGCAACTTCATCTCTGGGCAGTGCGCCTTCATCTGGTAACTGGGAGTAATGACTGCTTGCTTCAGTTAGGAGGGCAGAACGTGTCCCGTGGAATGGGAGCTTTAACATCATTGTGAGAGAAATGGGACAGTCGAGACTGCAGACTTTATTATTATTAGTAGTACATGACATGATTACTTTGCCTCTCCTTTATTGTGTGCCAAACCCTGGGCTAAGAGCTTCAATGAAGATTCCACATATTGTCACGTATGTTTATGCTTGCCTATGTGTGTGTGTGTGTGTGTGTGTGTGTGTGTGTGTGTGTGTGTCTCATTCCTTTGTCCACAGGTGAGGGACCAAGACTCATAGGTGAAAGTCACCTTGTGGTGGCACAGGTGATTCAGGGATGGGGCCGTCTGCCTGCCAGTTGCCGTGTGACCTCTGGAAGTCATCTGCACTCTCTGAGACTCAGTTTTCTCATCTATAAACTGCACTAGATTGGCCATATAATTTTTCCATCTTTACTCTGCACTCTGATTTTATAGGTCTCTGGTTCTGTAAGGTTGTTTCTTGGTCACTGCTTTATGGAGATCATAAAAATGTCACTTGCTCAGAGGGCCATTTTTCTTTCTCCTGTGGGGTCTCAGGAGCCTGCCTTTCACATCTTTTACACCTCCTCCTTGTTACTCCAACAGGCATTAATTAGATCCCTTAGTAGGATATGCCAACTTTCAGTGTTTACCTCTTCATTCAGTTCATTTGGGAAATTAACCGGTATAAAAGTGCTTGGGGCAGTGGGCCTGGTGGCTCACACCTGTAATCCCAGCACTGAGGAGGCTGAGGCAGGATGATCGCCGCAAGTTTGAGGGGCCAGCCTGGTCTACATAATAAGTTCAAGGCTGGTGTGAAACTATATAGCAAGACCCTGTCTCAAAAAACCAAAAAAAAAAAAAAAGAAAAGTGTTTAACTCAATGTCATCTAGAGAAAATAAGATGTGCAGTTTAAATTTTAGCTGCTTTGCCTAGTTTCTTTAAGAAAATAATGTAAGGGAGAAAATACGTTTTTCTTCTAAAATGAATACTTTTGGATACTTTTAGCATATATACAAGGTATCTGGAGAGGAGGGCCTCAGAATGCTCCGTGGGTATTTGAGTTTGCAAGTGGCTTCTGGGATTCAGGGAAGAGACTGGCGTTAGTGTCCTGCCCGCCTTCCCAGCATCTTCCCTGGGGACCCTTGGCATTGTCCCCTCAGAAGCATAGCCAGCCAGAGGCGGGTCCCAGGGTCTGCTGCTAGGCGGTGGCTTTGGAACAGCTCTGTTGAGATAATTTTACGTGCAATTTGCGCATTTTAAATGTTCAGTTTAGGGAATGTTAAATTACTCACAGTCATACACCCATCACCACAGTCTAATTTTAGAAGGTTTTCTCTGCCCCCAGAAGAAGCCTGCTTCCACTAATAGGCACTGCCTTTCCCAGCCTTAGCCCTAGGCTACCACTGATCTACTTTCTGTTCTATAGATTGGCCTTTCTCAGGGACGTTTCATCAAATGGAATCATGCAGTGTGTGTTCTTTTCTGTGTCTGGCTTCTTTCACCAGGCTTGGGTTTTATTCATTAATTTGTTTGGGGCAGAGCCCAAGTGTTTCCTACCACAGTCTTATTATATAATACAGCTCCCCTTGAAGTTTAACCTAGAGAAACCCACAGTTAATGCTGGGTCCTTAGCAGGGAGACTGCCCTGGGGGCTGTAACTCTAGGTGACCCGGGAAAACAGCAGCCCCCTGTGTGAGTGTGAGTGTGGAGGGTGGCAGTCCCCAGCCGAGAGGATGTAGGCGCATGCTTCCCTTTGGACTGTGCCTACCTGGGGTTGCACCTGGTGCTGCTCCATGGATGAGGGGGCTGGGTGGAAAGCCTTGTCCAGCACCATTGCCTGGAGACCATCAAATGGCCGGCAGGTGCCTCACGGGGGAAAATTCCCCCACCACCATGGGTGGGGAGAGCCAGGGGGAGCAGACAGCACTTGCCAGAGGGTGCAGGCAAGGATCCATGGGTGGTGTGGCCCCTCTAAAGGCAGCCAGAGCTTTCTTTGAAAACCCTTTATTAAATGGTTGTGGTGGCACACACCTGTAATCCCAACCCTCTAAGAGGCTGCGGTAGGAGGATCATAAGTTCAAGCTCAGTCTGGACAGCTTAGCAAATGAGTGAGAGCATTTTGTAAAAATAAAAAATAAAAAAGGGTAGAGATGTAGCTTAGTTGGAGGCCCTGGGTACCACCCCTAACACTGCAACACAGCCAAAAACCGGAAACAACCCTTCTGCCAGTTTCCAGCCTCTCTGGTGGGGGAAGAAGAGCAGTGTCCCTCTTGTGCCTGTCTGCTCAGTCCCCGTTGGGCTCCATTGTCCCAAATGCTGAGAAGTGCTCCACACAGGCAGAGGTGCCAGGCTGTCACAGAAAGCTCCCCGGAAGCGGTCAGAAGGAAATAGGGCACATACCACAGCTTTCTGAGTCCCCCTCATTGCGTTGCAGCTGGACCCCAGCATCTTTGAAAGTTTGCAGAAAGAGCGAGTGGAGGCGGGAGATGTGATTTACATCGAAGCCAACAGCGGTGCAGTGAAGGTAATGCTGCCTGGCTAGCACCCACCTGCTGTGTCTGCAGGAGGAGCCTGGGTGACAGGGGGTCCTTGCCCTGGGCTCGGGTGTTGGGGCTGACATCGGTGCAGTATGGAGCGAAGGTCAGCAGCTACCCCTCATGCAGAATAAACTCCGCTTCCCTTCACCTTCATCCTTTAACCTTCTTGTGATGAACGCAGTCTGTTAGAAAAATACTAAAACCTGCTTAGAGGGGGACCATGGGGTGAGAAACCAAAACAACTTTAGTCATTTTCAAATTGAAATGTGCAGGGCATTTAATCTTCCTTTTATCGCTTTAGTATACTCTTCCTGAGATATATGCATGTGGGGAGGAACGCTGAGTTAGTTGGCATTCTTCTCTGTCTGATTTCCCTTACAGTTTGCTCACTGTTTAATGGATGAGCATAATACTTCATATCGTACGATAAATCACCCACCTACAAAGCAGTCTGAGCAGCTCCCTCTGTCTCCATTTAATCTACTGGGTTTGCCCTTTATCGGGAATTGCATACAGTTAAAAGAAAGAGGGGAGAGATGCTTGGAGAAGGTATCAGGTGTTTCTCAACTGGATTTTTGGAGCCTGGTGATGAGCAGATAGCTGGTTTCTCCTGGCAGCAGGGGCGAGGGGCATATGTGGAGTTTGTCAAGGAGACTGTCAGGCCCGCTTCTGGGAACTGAGACCTTTATCTCACTTAGCACTGTGCCATTTGGGGACTTGGCAGTGGAAGCTCATGGGCACTTGCATTTCTTTCTGCAGAGGCAGGGCAGGTGTGACACCTATGCCACAGAATTCGACCTTGAGGCTGAAGAGTACGTGCCCTTGCCAAAGGGGGACGTGCACAAGAAGAAGGAAATCATCCAGGACGTGACCTTGCACGACTTGGATGTGGCCAACGCACGGCCCCAGGTACGCATGCTCGCGTGCTGCCTGGTTGTCTGACACTTGGGGCTTTTGTGTGTGGGCCACGCTGAAGCTCTGGGAATGAACTGTCAGGGTCCCGCTGCCACTTGGCAGGCGGGCCTTTTCTGTCTGTGATGTTCAGCAATTAACATCGACATGAGCTACGAGGGGGCTCTTTTGTCCCGATTCAAATGCACGAGTCACAGATGATTTCGTGGGCATTGTTCCTGTCCCAGCCAAGCTTCTGGCCTGAGCTTGCCAGCCAGTGGCCTCATGGCTTCTCTCCAGTAGTGGGCTCCAGGCTGGCTGCCCCGAGTGTTCCTGCTGGAGAGCAGGAGTGCTCTTGTCCCTTTACAGGATTTCAGAAAGCCTGACAGAGCTGCATCTTTGCCTCTGCTGAGTGAAATCCCCAGATTTTTGGCTGTGCTGACACTGTTGTGTGTATCTCTAGACAGGAGATGCACACTTACACCTTGCTAATAAAATGTAGGAAAGTGTGCATTGCCTTGTGACCGTTCTGGGAAATATGTGACTAAAAGCAGCAAAGCATAACTGCTCCCTGCTGCTGACCTTTCAGCTTGATTTCACCTTCATCCTAAGAGACCATCTCCTCACTCGCAGGGAAGGATTGATGGGTTTTGTAGCTTGAAACCTGAACCTTAGAGCTTTGGTCCCAGGCTGCTGGTACCTGCTGGCACCTACCACCCGGAGGTAGGACTCGTGTCTCCCAGCTGACCCTGGAAGCCTCTGGGCTGGGAGGGAGAAGCCAGGAGCCCTGTCATCAACTAGATGGCCGATTTGGGGGCTCAGTGATCTTGTTCTGCTTCCTAGAGTGCAGGGCTGTTTGGGGTCAGATGGGAGTGCCTGGAAACATTTGCTTCCTTAGCTGCTCAGCATTTAGTGAGCCTCGTCTGTGTCCTGGGGGCTTGTGACAACTGCTCATATGATCACTGTTCTGACAGGAGCTGGTGGGAGGACGCAGGTGGATAATAAGTGGCCCTGCGGGGACCCCTCAGCCAAGTCTAGGAGAGGAGATGTGGGGATGGGATTGTGGCACAATTTCGCACTGACTGACAGTCCCAGGTAGGAGTGTTGGGCAGGGACATGGGCCCAGAGGGCATTTGGCCTGACTATTATTAGGGGACTGGAGCTTCCCGGGAAAGAGAGCACCATGCCTGGCAGCTGGACTGGAGTACACAAGGCCCGGAGCCATGACAAAGCTCGTGGGTATTCACGGAAGTGTGGAGAGTCCCGTGTGGCTAATCAAGGGAGAGGATTAGGAAAGAGCTGGCTCCACTTCCCGTGAAATGTGTTTGAGTCTTACAGTCTTGGCATCACTAAACTTTTCTCTGAGTCCAGAGGCTCCTTCAAGCCTCCCAGGGGAGGCGTGTTGGTGTCTACACCACAGGGTTCTTGAGCTGACCTAGGGACTTGCAAGAGACAGGGAGTGAGGCTGACTCCCATCTTCTTTCCGCAGGGCGGCCAGGACATCCTGTCAATGATGGGCCAGCTGATGAAGCCAAAGAAGACAGAAATCACAGGTGGAGCAGCCTGGAGCAGGCCGGCTGGGCGGGTGGTGATGGGCAGGACCCGGGTTCTTCTGCTCGCTGGGCCCCAGGAGGGCACCTGACCTGGACCGTGCCTCCCACAGCACTGTCTTCCCGAGTTGGTCCGTCACCAATGGTGTACTCTGGCCCCAGAGCCATCCTAGTTTCTGGTCCCTTTGAGATCCCAGGCGCATGAGGCCCCCTTCTTCCCTGCTCCCGCCCTTACCAGCTTCTGGGCACTGCCTGGGACCTTAGTGACCCTCTCCTAGCTAATGACCACCTGAAGCTTTGTCACCTTTAAATGTTGGCTGAACATTAAAACCACTGTTACCTTGAGACTATCGGCGGCGAGTAGCCAGAGACCTTTTGTGAGTGCGCAGGTGCTGCCCCTGTGACAGTCCCTGCCGTTGGCCTGGTGGAATCCACTGCATCGGATCTTCCTGTTGTATCTGTGAACAGCTCCCTCTGGGTGATGGAGATACAGGAGCTGCCTTGGAAAATGAGGGCTGTGACCTGAAATGGGTTATGGAACTGTTGAGGGCCTTGTCCCTCTTTTCTTCAAAGCCCTCACCCGTCCAGGACTCCTCCCCGAGGAGGCACTTGACTGAAAGTTAATTAACCTGGGCTTTGTCACACAGGGCTAGCGACAGGGAAATTTGAAAACCTATTTGAAATATGAAAACCTATTTCATGCCCCCACAACCTCAAGTGAGGATCAGGCCAGGAGCTAGATGGGGTGCTGGTAGATAATGAGGCACAATAGGGAGTGTGACGGGCCAGGTCCTGCAGAGGTGAGGCGGGAGGCAGAAGGCCGTCCTGTGCACAACTATCAAAGCCACTTCACAGACTTGAGCAAACTCATTTTCAGGGAAGGCTGTCAACTCTGACCTTTAGGTGGGATCCTCCCTGTTTCTAGGTGGTGACACTGAAGTCTTGGTTGGGGACAGAGCCCACCCAGGGCTACCTTGCTAGCAGGAACCCCGGCCATTGGGTTGGCTTTAGGTTGGACCGGGAAGAGGAGAGGAGAAAAGCAGCTCTTCTGCCGGGGCTGACCACTGCCATCCTGTCATCTCCCAGACAAACTTCGAGGGGAGATCAACAAGGTGGTGAACAAGTATATCGACCAGGGCATCGCCGAGCTGGTCCCGGGTGTGCTGTTTGTTGACGAAGTTCACATGCTGGACATCGAGTGCTTCACCTACCTGCACCGTGCTCTGGAGTCTTCCATCGCCCCCATCGTCATCTTCGCGTCCAATCGCGGCAACTGTGTCATCAGGTGGGTGGCTGCGTCACCTCTCGCCGGGCTCCTGGGCTCCTTTCTATAGCCCCGAGTGTCAGGCGTTCGGACAGGGTAGGTTTTGAGAGGAGATGTACCACAGTGCCCAATCCCCAGTGTCATTTTTGCACGGTCGATGGGGCAGCCGCTGCCCTGTGACCTGTGACTGGAGGGTCTCTCGTGCCAGGGTGACAGCGAGGTGTTAGGGTTTGGTCATCCTTCAGGCTCTGCAGAGGTGAGATCAGATGAAGTGGCTGTTGGTGACTTCCATGTGTTAACCTCCTGAGTCCTGAGCCAGCTCTGAGAGGTATTGTCAGCCTTATTTTCAGATGAGGAAATAGTTGTGTAGTAACTTGTCCTTGTCATTAAGAGAAGAACAGGGTCTTTGTGATAACCCCAGACCTTCCCTAAGATGTGGTGGCTTCCTGCACCTCCCGGCAGGCCCACCTTGCTGAATGCCCATAACCCTGGAGGCTGAGTGCTCCTGCCTGTGCAGGGCCAGGGCTGGGGCTGTGGATGTCTGCAGTTCTTTTTCTCCTAAATGCTCTTGAGGTCCCCAAGCCCCAGAGAACCCACCGTCTGCCATCTCACAAGCCCTAGTGTCCATGCTCCCAGAACTTGGTAGTTTTACCACTTGTTGGGTTTTCTGTGGGCCTGGGTGGACCTGAGCACTAGGGCTCTGCAAGGCCGGGGTAGGGAGGGCCTTTTTTTTTCTTTTCTTCAGTACTGGGGATCGAACTGAGGACCTTGTGCTTCTGAGGCAGGCGGCAGAACCACTGAGCTAAATCTCCAGCCCTGTCATGGGCTCTTGATGGAGACATTGTCCACAGCCTGGGTGGCTGGCTCAGGTGGCCCACCGGGGGACAGACTGCTCTGCAGGGCCCTTCCGGGCTGCTCCCACTAGCACTAGGTATCTAGTACCTGATTCAGGTTCCTGTGGCATCCTGGAAGCCGCTCTGAGGCCTGCCGAGGACCGCTCCTACTGGTGCTTCCTTCCATCTTGGAGAGGGCAGCTTGTGCCAGGTGCAGTCCAGAGTTGGGGACAGGAGCACGGCTGCCTCGGTGGTGGGGGACCTGTTAGGCTTGCCTGGCCTGGGTCAGCCTGGCTCCGATGTGGCTGCTCAACAGGTGAAGGGCCCAGCCTGGATATGTGGTGCCCCCTGCTGGTGAGCTCTGCTCATGGGCTCCCTGCCAACACAACCTGGTAGATGAGCTGGCTCCCCAGGTAGCTGCCCTGCCCACGACAAGGGGCACAGGAAGGTGGCTCCTATCTGAGGACCTGCTCAGTGGGGACAAAGTTCTGGTCAACTGTGCAGCTCTAGAAAAGGATCTTGGTACTGAGTCCTTGTACTGATAGTGACAACAGCATAGTTATGGCAAAAGTACCTGCTGACCTTCCAGGGAGCTCTCTGTGTGTCCCAGGCACCCAGAGTATGAGAAGGGACAGAGGTGCCAGGTGATGCCACACTCAGTTCAGGCTCTTGAAAAGAGCTGGGTGTAGAGTGTGGAGTGTGACAGAACTTCTGGAACATTTACAGATTTGGGCAACATCTGATGTGCTGCCACTGAGGGGCCACCCTGCCCCCAGGCCAGTGTCTGACCCCCAGAACTTGAAGGGGTGGTGACACTTCCTGAGGATCTCCTGATTGCCTCAGGTGACCTCAAGGTGCCCAGCACCCTGTGGGCCAGTGAGGTCATGTGGAAGGGACAAGCTGGTAAAGCCCTCGCTCTCCCTCTCTCGCACTCCCTCTGTCGCCCTGTGCCCTGTGGTCTGGCTAGGGGGTGCACTGTGTAGAAGGGGCATCAGGGAGTGCTGGGCACTGTGTTTGCAGCCATGGCAGCGTCCCTTGTGCTGGTGCGCTCCCTTTGCCCCGGATTCTTGCCGTCTTTCCAGCTCTGAGTGGCTCTCGTGGGCTGAGCCGTGGCCCAGCTGTGCCCTGGGCCATGGATCCAAGCGTGAGTCTGGTTCCTTGGGAAGCCGTGCAGGCACTGGTCCTTGGGACTTGGTGACCCCTGGTAAGTCCCTTCACCCTGCCTGCATGCACCGTCTTTCTTATGGAATTATCTGAAGGTTAGCGGTGGAGGTTGAGTCCACCTGGGGGAACTGGCTGAGCTCTGCCCAGGCTGCCTATGCACCCGGCTTGGCCACAGGGACCGCCGGAATCCCACACGTCACACAGCGGTGTCACAGGTTTGCATTTCCTGAGACTTAGTGATGTTGAGCATCATTTTGGGTTTTGTTGGCCTTTTGTGAATCTTCTTTGGAAAAGTGTTCATATCTTATGCCCATTTGTTACAGTCTTATCGTTGAGTTGTAAGAATTGTTGTGTGTTCTGGTTGCTAGATCTCTGTCGTGTATGTGGTTTGTAAATATTTTCTCTCATTCTTTGGGTAATCTTCTCAGTTTTTGGACATTATCTGTTTGTTTGTTTGTTTGTTTTTTGGAGATGGTCTCACTGTTGTACCCCAGGCTGGCCTTGCACTCTCGGCAGTCCTCCTGCCTTAGCCTCCCAAGCGCTGGGATCACGGTTATGCATCACCACACCCGGCCGTGGACAGCGTCTTTCGATACATACAAGTTTAAATTTTGATTTAAAACTCTAGTTTTAGCAGGCAGGCATGGTGGCACATACATGCAATCATCAGTTCAAGGCCAGCCTGGAACACATGGTGAGTTCAAGGCTAACCTGAGCTATATAGCAACACCTTGTCTCAAAAACCAAAATAAATAAATAAAACTCTAGTTTACTAATCAGGCTAGGATGTAGCCCAGTGGTAGGGCACTTGCTTAACATGCACAATGCCCCTGGGTTTGATCCCCAGCACCACAAAATAAAACAAAACCCTCTGACTTATATGTGTAGTCTGTCATCTATCTGTCTGTCTGTCTGTCTATCGCAGTACTGAGAATCAAACTGAGAGCCTTTGCACTTAGCTATATCCCCACCCCTTTTCACTTATTTATTTAGTTTTAAATTTTGACATAGGATCTTGCTAAGTTTCCCAGGCTGAGCTCAGACTTGCAGTCCTTCCTCTGCTGGGATTACAGACTGTGCTTTTGTCCAGTTGTGATTTTGGTCTCGTGTAAGAATCCATTGTCTGATGTCGTAATGATTTCTGCCTTCTTGCGTGTTGATTTAGGATTAGGTCCCTTTTGGGTTAATTTTGGGGTAGAGTGTAAGGAAGGATCTTTGATCCAGCCGCATTCTTCTGCATCTGAATGCCCAGTGGTCGCAGGAAGATTTTTCTTTTTTTCCCCCCCGGGGATCAAACTCGAGACTTTGTGCACCTGTACGGCAAGGTGATGGAACCACTGAACTAAATCCCTGGCCCAGGAAGATTGTTCTTTTCATGTGGTCATCTTGGCAGCCTAGTCCAATACCGGATGCTGTCTTTGGCCTTTACTCTACCCACTGAGCAAGGTTTAGGTAGCCTACACCTTCCCATGCCACGTCCCCGTGCTTCTGTTGGGGGCGAGCCTGTGTTTCCTGTGTCCCTGTTGTCAGGTATAGTGGCAGTCTGCCATTCTCACCCAGGGCCAGTGTTGCCACTGGGGGCATTGGTGATGTCTGGAGATGGTTTTGCTCCTCGCGGCTGGAGGTACTGCTGGGCGCCCTATAAGGCATGGGACAGCCTATCCACTGAGTGGCAGCGAAGAAGCTGAGTTTTTGTGTGTTTTTTTAAAATTTAATTTTATCCCATTCCCCTACCTAAAGTCCCCTCCCCTCCATGTGGACAAAAGCTTTGTTTCCATTTTGTCCTTCTATTTTCACTTTTTTCTTGTCCCTTCCTTCCTTTCTCCCTCCTCCTCCTCCCTGTTCCCCTTCCCTTTTGAACACTTTCGTCCCATTTCTCAACATCCATTATACATCTCAGTCCTTATTTCCACTTTCAGTTTCTCGCACCAGAGAAACTATGTGGTACTTAAACGTGTGTCCGATTTATTGCACTTAAGAGTATGGTCTCAAGGTCCATCTATTTAGCCATAAAAGTCTAAAGCTCATCCTTCTTTATGGCAGAATAGTACTCCACTGTATAAAAAAAACCACATCTTCTTTACCCACTTGGGCTCTTTCCAAGATTTAGCTATTACAGACTGTGCTGCTATAAATATGGATGTGCATATATCACTGGTCCAGTGTTTTTAATTCTTTTGGGGAGATACCAAGAAGAGGTATAGCTGGATCAAAAGGAACCCCTTGTTTAGTTATTTGAGGAATCTCTGCACTTATTTCCGCAGTCTGCACTCCCATCAACATTGGAGAAGGGTTTCTTTTTTCCCACAGCCCCTCTAGCATTTGTGATTGGTTGATTTCTTTATAGCAGTCATTCATTCTGGAGTGAGATGGAATCTCAGCATTGCTTTGATTTGTGCCTCTCGAATAAACAGATGTTGAACATTTTTTCATATATTTATCTGCCATTTTTAATTCTTCATCTGAGAAATGTCTTTTTATTTCAGACTCCCATTTTTGCATTGGGTCTTAAAATTTGGGGGGGTGATTTTTTTGATTTCTTTATTTTTTGGGTTTTGTTTTGTTTTGAGACAGGATCTCACTATGTAGTTGAGGCTGACCTGGAACTCACTGTGTAGCTCAGGCTGGTCTTGAACTCACAGCGATCCTCCTGTCTCAGCTTCCCAAGTGCTGGGATTACAGGCGTGAGCCACCACGCCCGGCCTCAGTGAATAGGATTTTAAAGTTACATATATATATATTTATCTTTGGGATTTTGACATCTTCTGGATCTAAATATAAACTTTAAAACTATTTATAGTAGCAAAATTCATAATAGCTAAATCTATTGGAAGCAGCCTGTATATCCATCAGCGGATGAGTAGATTAAAAAAATGTGGAATTTACCACAGTGGAGTACTACACTGCTAGAAAGAAGGATAAACTTGATTGATGTACCTTGAGACTGTAATGTTAAGTGAAATAAATCAGACACACAAGCTTCCATATTGTATGGTTTCTCTTACGGGAGAAACCTAATGTATAAATAAAGAACAAAATAAAAGATCATAGGAAGTGGGAAAATAGATCTTTCTCCTATGTGAAGGGGATCAAGAGATGGAAGGAGGGAGATGAAAAGGAATTAAGGTGTATCAGGTACGTGGCCAACTCCCCTCGAGGAATGTAGCGTTATGTACAGGGTACCTCGGTTCACGAAGCTAATTCTTCCCACTATTCTGGTCACAAATCAGGTACAGCCGCCTTACCTTTCCCTTTCTTCTAAACCACTTAAGCAGTTTACTGTCTAGGGTTATTGGTACTGGCTGTGATGCTGTGAGGTGCGCTACTCCTGTCGCCTCATTGTCTAGGACAGTGATGTGGATATTCAGGGCTGTGTCTGGCATTTCTGTAATGGCTGAGGAAATGGGCCTGACTGTGTGCATGAAGTTGTTTATGGAAACACTCTTAATAAACACTGCACCAGTGGAAGCTACCTAATGCTCAGCAGTTTGGATTAAGTACAATATTCGATGCTCTATTAGGTAAATATTCAACGTGATAAGTAAGACTGAAGCAACATAGACCAAAAGTATATACATGCTTACTCTGATTTGTGAAAGTGGGTGTACAAAAAGCTTGGCGAATATTTAGGTGATCATTTCAAGGAGATTTTTAGGTGTTTTTGCTCCCTTTGCCATATTTCCTGTGATCCTAGTTACAAAGTTGACAGAGATGTTTCTTAGGCTTCCCATGTGTCCGTCTAATTCCTTGCACCTGGCTCTGGTTCTCAGGATGCCAACCAGCTGCCTGTGGTCAGGGTGCCCAGTCCAGGTGTCCAGTGTCCTGTCTGGGATGGGCTTAGTGACAGGACTGTGTCTGGCCCTTGCAGGGGCACCGAGGACATCACCTCCCCTCATGGCATCCCACTCGACCTGCTGGACCGAGTGATGATCATCCGGACTATGCTGTACACGCCACAGGAGATGAAGCAGGTGAGCCTCCCTCCTGTTCCCTGCACAGCGCAGCCGTGGCACCTGGCTCCTGCTCAGGGGTCCTGGGGTATCACTTTGCTCTGCAGCTCAGCTCAGCCGTCTGAAGGATGGTTGGGCCAGCTTGACATGGTTAAGCTTGGACAGCACTGGAGCTTGGCTGGTCTTCTGCCAATCCCTCCTGATGGACTTGAGGGCCAGGATGATGAGATGGGCCCAGTGGTAACCACTGGGGAAGCCACCATCCCTGGCAAAGGGAGGCAGCATGGTAGGACTTGGAAGTCATCCTGTGTGGCTCCAGCCAGACCCTGCCATTTCCTTCTGCCCAGAGGATGGGGCCAAGTTCTGCCCAGCAGAACCCGGAGCAGGCAGCTCCTTGGGTATGGGGTACAGCCCCTGCCCCAGAGAGGCCAGTGCTTGCTTCCTGGTAGTAGCATCTGCCGTGCCAGACGGGTGCCTGGTTTCAGGGGGCTTTGAGCCTGGGCCTGGAAAGGCCTGCAGTTTTGCATCCTGAGGGCAGCCATCACGTCCTCAGCGATCTCGGTGAAGCAGTGTCCCACAGCTCAGAGATGCGCCTGAGAACGGGTCTGTGGCCTCACAGGGAGAGCCTCAGGCGGGAACTGGGCTACCTGGCCCCGGGCTTGGCATGCAGTGCATGCTGCAGCGGAGCCACATGAGTGGCTTGGGTTTGGATGGGGCTGGCAGTGATGGGGGTGCGGTTGGGTCTGTCCATGGGGTGTAGTCCCTGGTGTCTCACAGGAAGCCCTTCTTGGTTGATCTGTGTGGCCAGACGCTGTCATGTGTGGTCTCCTGTGAATACTTCCAGGTAGGCGTCAGGGTTATTGGCTGGTCCACTGCGCTGCACATCTGGGACATGAAGCCAGACTGAGGCCCCTGGCCCTGGGCTGGTATCCCCGGGACAGCATGTGTGGAGCTCCTTGCTCTGCTTGCCTTTGCCCAGGGTCTCTCCACATGGGGTCTGGTGGCCCTTGGTGCACTGCGCTTGGAGCTTGGGGCTCACTGTCATGTGGGTTTCTTTGCTGGGCATGATGGTGAGCCATAGACAGGCCTGGCTGCATGACTCCCCTTGCATTCCCAGTGACCTTGGGCAGGGAGACAGGCACTATTTTCATTCTTAAAGATGAGGACGCTGAGGCTCAGGCTCAGTGATTTGCCTGGGGTTACAATGCTGGTCGATGCCCCTCAGGTGACAGGCAGAACACTAGGCCGTCTGTTCCTAGACCATGTTCTTAGTCACTGCCGCCTGACCTCCCTTCTGGAGGTGACCCAGGTGGCTGCAGCTGTCTTGGCAGTTTGGGAGTAGGGGCTTTGAAGCTCTTAGGGCTACCCAGATATCCCTGGTGGCCTACCTGACCGGGCCCTGCAGTGCTTCTTTCAACAGCAGCCAGGAGGGGCTGGTGATACCTGGGCTGGGCAGACCCCCCCAAGACCGGCTGACAGTGCTGGGGCAGTGGCCCTCGCAGCGCCACTGTGAGCCATAGCAGGGGGCAGTGTCAGCTTCTGTATAAGTACCGCACGGTAACCGATTGCACCACTGGAGCTCCCAGTGTTGACTTCTGAGTCCGTCCCCAGGGAGGGGCTCTTGCTGCTGGGTGAGGGTAAAGTGGAACCCAGGAGATCACTGAGCAGAGAGAAGCAGAAGCAGCGGGTCCCAGGCTGTCCCTGGGAACCCTGAGTCCTCAGCACAATGCAGAGCAGCAGCTCTGCACCTGTGGCAGCCCAGGCACCTCTGAACAGCCTGGGTTTCTGGGTGCACCTGTGAGCCTTGGCCCCCTCCTGCTCAGTGGGAGGTCTGCTGCTTGCTGTGAGATTCACCAGGACTGGTGGCGCACCACATTCTTCCTTCCTGCTGCTGCTGCTTTTGGTGATGTTGATGGCTTTGTGTCTCTCGTGGATACCTGCAGGGTCCTTGCAGCAGCTTTGTGATAACCAGGGTTCAAAGCTTGAAAAGCAAGGATGCCCTGGCCAACAGGGTTGAGCGACAGGTGGGACACCCATGCTGAGCCAGTTCATGTTGCTCTGTCCACTCGAGCCCAAAGCTGTGGTGCAGCCTGCCTTGGGATGTCGATCACTGTGCCCAGGGCAGTGACCTGTGCCATCCTGGCCACCCCCTGCCACCTCCTCCTGGGTCAGTGCAGTGCTCTCTTCCTGCCAGGTCCAGGGTCACCTCAGTCCCATGTGCTTGTGTCATTTGCTCCCTGTGCTGCTGCCCCCATGCCCTGTACCTGCAGGTGACTGAGCAACGAGTGACCTGAGATGGAACCCAGGAGCGTGGGAGCAGAGACCTTGCTGTCCCCGCATCCTGCGGACAGGGACACTCCCTCTGACACACCGTCCTTGGCTGGGTGGTAGGGTTCAGTAATTGTGTCTCCCTGGAGTGTCAGGACATCCCGAGAGGTGCTGTGCCTGCAGGGGCTGAGCCTCTGCCACCTCCATTGAGGAACCTTGAATAGGATTGGATGCGGTCCTGTCCTTCTCAGTGCTGATTGGTGGCTCCCTGGGGACATTCTCGGCTCAGTTAGCGTTGGCTTCAGTCCTCAACTACAGAGCCCACAGCTGGGAGGAGCCCTCGCAGGGAGCCCCTGGTGCCCATGCTCCCATGGGGCTTGTGTGGCCCTGTGGTGGCTGTGAAGTGTGTGAGTGAATAAGGGCATCTTGGGTAGGGCTCACCCTCTGAGCCAGTGGACCAAGCGAAGGCTCTGACAGCAGTGCCTTGGACTGGAGTGGCCTCGGTTGGGGATCCAGCTGCCTGGGGCACTAGGGCAGCCCTTTCCCATCTAGGCTCCTGGCCAGGGATCCCTGAGCCTAGACTCTCCTGTGCCAGGCCAGGCTGACACTTTGGCTCTTTCCCTCCTGCAAGGTGGAGCTGGAACTCAGAGCTTCCCTGTTCCTGGGCCTCCACCCAGCTGTTTTTATAGGTTTAATTTAAACAAGAGCTTCTTGATATCTTGTTTACGGAGCTGCCAGAGTGAAAAATTCCTGTATTATATGAGGCTCGAAGTCCTCGAGTTATCTCGGCTCTACAACACACAACATCATTATCCTGCTGGCCCTTATCACTCAGCTCGGCTGCGCTGCGGACCCCACGCCACCGAGTGACGGCAGGGCGGCCACGCTGCCTCCGCCCTGCACCCGCCAGAATCCCGCTGCACCATGCAGCCTCCTCTTGATAGATTAGATATCTCCCCACGATGCTGTGTGGGCTGGGGGATCTTTAAAAGCAACTTTTTTGATTTATTTAACCATCATATTTATCAATGTAAAAAATGTCCGTTCCTGTCTGAGTGCTCCTAGGGGTGATGCCCAGCTGGAGAGGAAGGGCACAGCTGTAGGCACAGCGGGTAGACTTGAAGGAGGGGTGGCACATGCTCCTGAGGGTGCCGGCCAGCAGTGTGGTGCAGCTGCCAGCTTCCCGCCCCCAGCCCAGGCAGGGTGAGATGACGAACACTTCAGGCACCTGATAAGAGTGGGGCACCGCTCGGTACCAGAGCGCTGGCCTGGGACTTGTGAGGCCCTGGGTTCCACTCCCAACTCCAAAAGACCAAAACCTTTTTCTAGATGAGATATTCGGGGTAGGCCACTGCTGATCATTTTTTTTTCCTATAAAAGATCATTAAGATCCGAGCCCAGACAGAGGGGATCAACATCAGCGAGGAGGCGCTGAACCATCTGGGCGAGATCGGCACCAAGACCACACTGAGGTGAGAGGGCACTGCCTGCTATTGGGGTTCGTGTGTGGGGATCTGCAGAGGGAGCAGCACAGAGCCAGCCAGGGGGCCTGTCCTCTGGGGGTCCAGAGGCAGGGAGTGGGGGGGCCAACTCGGTGCACAGGGATTGGTCCCTGTGGCTAAGAGGCTTGGCCTGGGCACAGCGTTCCAGTCAGTTCCGCTCCTGAGGAGGAAGCAGGGGCACAAGATGTTTTTTCGGAAGCCGCTGCTTATCATCGCCGAGTCTCAGCCTGTGTTGGAGGGGCTTTTTGGCAGTCTTGGTGTGAATTCCTGCTGCCCTGGGTGACTCCTGCCCATCACTGTGGGGAAGGTGTGGGACGACACGTGTCATCCTGGTGGCCTCCGGCCCCTCTCAGATGGGTTGTGACCTCAGCCCTTAGAAACAGCATCTCCTCTTCTTTCCTGCTGTGTCTGCAGCAAGCACCTGAGCCCAGCATGGGGCTCAGCCTGTGTTGCCTGCCTACCCCCCGGCCCCCTGCCCAGGCTCACCAGGCCCCGTCCCTGGCAGGTACTCCGTGCAGCTGCTGACCCCCGCCAACCTGCTGGCCAAGATCAATGGGAAGGACAGCATTGAGAAGGAGCATGTGGAGGAAATCAGTGAGCTCTTCTATGACGCCAAGTCCTCAGCCAAGATCCTGGCCGACCAGCAAGACAAATACATGAAGTGACACAGCTGGGGGTGTGCTCTGCAGTGCTGAAGGCTTTTTTTGTTAAGTTATGGTTATTTTCCTGTGGTTGCTTTGCAGGAACCCTTCTTTACCTGGTGTGTTTGCTAGTAAAATCTTATAGGTTATTTTTATGATACTTCTCTCTGTCCTGTAAGTTCTTTTTTTTTTTTTTCCTGGTACTGGAAATTGAACTCAGAACCTTGTGCTTGCCAGGCAGGCATGGTGCCACTGAGCTACATCCCCAGTCTTTTTTTTTTTTTCAGTACTGGGGATTGACCCTGGGACTTTGTGCTTGTGAGGTAGGCGGCGGAATCACTGAGCTAAGTCCCCAGCCCCGTTTTTGTTTTTGAGACCCTCATGGGCTACTATATAGTTCAGGCTGGACTTGAAATCACGATGATCCTCCTGCATCAGCCTCCTGAGGGCTGGGATTACAGGCATATGATACCATGCTTGGTCCTCCTTTTAAGTTTTTAAAAAATTAACTTTTATAGTGTGCCTGAGGCCCTGAGTTCCATCCCCAGTACTGCAGATAACAACCATCAAATCATTTACATCCCAGGGCAGTGTAGTCTCACAGAATTATTGCGCAGGTGGTATGGGGAGTTTGGTGAGTGCTAGAGCCAGCCTCCCTCGTCACTGACAGAGTGGGTGGCATGCTGCTACAGTGGGTTCTGTCTTTTGCTGCCCAAGACGTCTGGCTGTTTTGTCTCCGAGGTTCTTCCTGGCAATGCCAGTGTTCCAGGTTCTCCTTGTTTTTTGATGGCTTTGGCGTTCAGACGAAGGCTAGTCAGATTCTGTGTCTCATGTCCCTCAGGTGGGGTTTGTCTAATGCTCCCCTCTGGCCTGGGATTGTGGGTTTGGGGAGGACCAGGCAGAAATGCCCTTTCTTCATGTCTTGCTGTAGGCACGTGCACTGTTAGTGGCCACCTTGACCACCCAGCTGGGGTTCCATTGATCTGAGTTCCTTGTCCCCCTTCACCATGTGCTCTGTGCCACTCCTCTTCCTAGGCAGGGCCACACTCCTCTCGGGCCATGTGTTTACCTCAGGTGTTGGGAGCCCTGCCCAGAGACTGCTGTGTCTTCCACCGATTTAGGGACTTCTGGGTGCTGAGTGGCTACTTTGGGCTGGAGCCTCATGCTGGTCCCACTTTGGCCACTGAGCACTCTTCCTGCTGGCTCTTGTGTCCCTTCAGCATGTCCTTGTCACTATGGCTTTGTCTTCAGGGCAGCCCCCAACAGCCCTGAGCTGGAAGATCCCTGCCCCGGGGACAGGGAGGGTCTTGTGTCATGAGGCAGTAGGGAGGTGCTATGTGACCCTGTAACAACAGACCTGGTCCAGGCCTGCACAGCCACCCCCAGCTGCCCAGGGCGGCTGACACCAGGGCAGTTGGTTTGGAAGGGGCGCATGGTCTTGTTCACTTGGGCCCCTGGGTGTCCTGGCCATGGTGGTGCCCAGGCTGCTGGTTCTCCAGAGGGTGGCAGATGGCTCCAGACAGGAAGGTTTGGTTATTTTAATTTCCCTCCTATTTTTTCCCAGTAAGACCTGTGATTATTACATTAATCTTCCAGGCGAAGTTTTTACGACCAATCCCTCGTAGACTATGAGAAGTTTCTCCATCCATTACCAAGAGGGAAACAGACCCTGGTGGGGAAGAAAATATTTGTTACATCTTATCGGCCTGACACACAATCTAGCAACAATTACAGCAGCCCCATTTTTTGCACCATTTCAGCTCCAGTGTGAAAAATTGTTGTAATATTAAAGTGAGGCAGGCTGGGGGCTGGCTGAGGCAGTGGCTGAATATTCTGATCCGGGCCCAGGCCCTCAGGTGCCTCCCAGCGTGCGATTGGGTGGCCAGGACATAAATCCTGGTCTGTGCCTGCTCTGCTAGTGGCCTGGATGCTAGGGAGCTGGAAGGGCTCTTGAAAGACAGTCCTGGCTTGGCTGGTGGACCCAGGTCTCCTGCTGTGGTCCTTGCAGACCCCTACCTACTTCTTAGGGCTGCCCCTTAGGTTGATGGGCAGCAGACACATGGTCACACCTGCTCACACCAGAAAGCGACTTTCTTAGCTGCTTCTCAAATGCAGTGGAGTTGCCAAAGGAGGCTGGGGTCACACCCTGTCCCTTTCTCTGGTCCCTGGGGCCCACTCCAGAAGCCCTGCTGTGGAGGATGGGGTGGAGGTGACAGGTGACAAGTGCAGAGGTTCTCAGACTGTGCCTGCATTGTCTCCTGCCCACTGGCCTTTGGTGTGGACAGAGCCGGTCCCTCCTCTGCTCCAGCCTAGGCACCTCCACCTGCAGGTAGGACAGCTGTATCCCAGAGATTGACATGTCGACTTGGTGAGGTGACAAATTCAGAGGAGAGGCCCTAACCTTGTCGCTCTTGGAAGCAACAACACGGTTGTGTTAACAGAGGAGCCTGCACCCTACAAGGCTCCACTGGTCCCCTCGTAGATGCCAGAGCTTTAAAGGGCTCTGAGGACCCCCAGTTTGCACAAAGCCCTAAAGTTCCCAGAGGGGCAAGTGTGGGTTCAGGGCCGTCAGGAGAAGACAAGACCTACTCATTGTGCCCTCCACTCCCAAGAACCACATGTACACGTCCTCTCCCTGGGCCCATGGATCCCATCTTGGTGCTGCCCAGCCAGGGGGAGAAGTGATTCCTTTGTCGAAGGTGCACTGGTGCTTGCCAGGTTGGGCCAGTTGCCCTTCCATTTGGTGGGAAGCAGCCCCGCATCACCTCTGACACTTCCTTTTCGGTCCCTGCTTCATCAGTGGGGGCCGCTCCCCCTCGGCTGCTTCTAGGACAGCAGCTCCGCTGCCCCGTCGCCCGGCAGTCACTCGCGGCAGGCGGTGATTAATTGCTGGTCGTGCCGCCCGCGTCGCCTGCGATGGATGCGCTGTCACCGCGTCGCCGTGCTGACCCCAGCCCGGCCCGCGATCAATGGCGGCGGGGCGGCTGCTGGGCCGGCGCGATAAGGTCGATGGGCGCTGAGATCGCGCCCCCGCCGCCGCCTCCTCGCGTCAGCGCCGTGATTAATGGGGCCGCTGGACGCGGGGTGACACGGCGGAGCGGGATGCGGGAACCGGGGGACCAGGGACGGCGGCCCGAGGGCTCGAGCACCAGCGTGCCTCGCACAGCCGTCCCGCCAGGAAGGGGTGGCCGCGGGGACCGACTGAGGCTCCGGGGCCTTGGCTAGGACGTCTTCGGGGAGGCAGGGCCACTGTGAGGCGTCCCGGCGGGCACGGGCTGGCGAAGGTGGCCGCAGAGACAGTACAACTCCAGCCCTCTGAGGGGCCGATGGCACCCGCCCCGGGATGGCGAGGCTACAGCGCCCCCACGAGGCGGGAGCACTCGACAGGCCCCGTCTCCTCCCCGCCAAGGGGGCGTGGCCAGCCCACACCACAGGCCCCTGCCCACCCTGTCACCAGCCCTGGGTCGCACTTTTAAATTTCAAAATACTATACTTGTGTGTACAAGTGTGTCTAATTTTCCAGAATATTTACTCACTGGTTGATTGACAGGGACTCCCTATGCGGCCCAGGCTGGCCTCAGCCTTCTGTGCACTGGGATTATAGGTAGGGTCTGCCACATCTGGCTATATTTGTAGCTTTTTTTAAAGTCTCAGTTTACACCCAGTGAAAAGCACACATCTTAAGTGGACCATCCCATGAGTGCGGACCAAGGGAAACCTGAATCCTATCAAGGTTGCAGCTGGTGCTCAGAAAGGTCCTGTACCTCTCTCTGCCCCTCCCCAGCACCTGAGAGGGGAACCCAGAGGCCTGGGCTTCCCTCAGTTCACCCCTCTGTCCCGCTGTGGCTGGGGGTGGGCAGCGCTCAGCCAGCGGGAACATTGTTTCTGCACAGGTCCTATAGGAACTGTGGCTGGCATGAGATGTAGGTCATTTATGAGTTTCCTGGAGCATTGTCTAGGTTTCACCCACTCCCCACCAACACCGAACACAGTGACAGCTGTTCTGCTTGCTCTCTGTGTCCACCTTAGAGGTTCTTAGAGGATGCAGTTGTTCTAGTTCCTTTCTGCAGGAGAGGTTTGTATCCTGGCCCCTTCTCCTGGGCCTGTTTGCAGCCTTACTCAGTGGGCTTTTAAGGATGAAGAGGAGCACAGGCTCCTGGCTTGGCACACTGCAGAGCGCACTTGCTGGGGCGTGAGCTCCCGGAGGATGGAATCAGCTCCAACCCCACTTACCCTTATTTCTGTGGAGTGCAGTGGGTGGTAGGGCCCAGGAGCAGGCTAGGGGATGGTGTGGCTCAGTGTCAGGGGCACAGGAGAGGACTCGAGCTGAGCAGTGGAGGAGCCTGGTGCTTCCTGGCCTCGCTCTGCCTCACAGGGCCGGCAGCTAGAGATCCTGGGCCACAGTCACAGCTGCCACTGTGCAGCTGTGACTTTGGCCACTATTTCACTGGGCCTTAGTTTCTCTGGCTGCTTCCCCTGGGCCTCTACTAGAAGTGATGTGAGGTGATGTGCAAGTGGGTGGCAGAACACATGCTGCAGGGGAGCAGAACAGCAAGTAACCCCAGGTGAAGCAGAGCTGGCGACACCAACACGCAGGTGCTGCTGAGCAGGGCTCCCACACGCAGTGGGGGGGCTGGGGCCTCCCCTAGCCAGCCGGTAGTGTTGTGGCCCAAGGTGGGGCCGGCACCCCATAGGCCTAACATGCACCCACTCTACCACCAACATGAGCGCGCAGGCCAGTGCTACTGTGCAGTGTCTGGAGGAGGGACATCCACATGCAGACCCTTGGCCAAGCCTTCCATCCTAAAAGCACACAAAAGCCTTCAGGGCTTATCTGCCTCTCAAGTAATAAACTTTTTTTTTTTTTTTTTTTTAAAGAACGTGACCAGGCAGCTTGTAAAAAGTTGGCTTTATTCATCATATTCACTGCATCTCAGTTGTGCCATTCTGGCATCCACAGTGACAGTCCCTGGAAGCCAGGATCAGCCCCTACCCACCCCGTGACTGCCAACCACAGGGGTGAGCCCAGCTGTGGTGGCACAGGGCACAGGGATGGCTGCCCAGGACTGGGTCTGACAAGGCCACGTGTGATATGGTGTAAGCCAGCAATGGCGAACCTCTGAGCTTTCAAAAACACAAACGGCCCGCTGTGGCACACTTGCGGTAGGTTGGCCATCACTGGTGTAAGCCCTGGCTGTGGGGAGGGACCTGCCCACTCTGGCTTGTGCTGTTGCCAATCAGCACTGCCAGTGAGGTCTCGGGCAGGAAGAAGCCAGAGGGTGCCAAGTACCCTGGTCCCACCTTCATCTAAACTCAGCCCAGATCCTGTTCCTGTCCCAAGGGCCTACCCAAGGCCAGAGGGGTTGCCCTGTCATCTGTCACTGGCCCTAGACAGAGCTAACTTCAGACATAGCTGTGAGTCTTCAATCATGCTGCAGTAGTGTCTCCAGGACACCCCCCACCATGACCCTGACCTCGGCTGCACACCTGCTCCCCACTCACGGTCCTGGTGATGGCCAGGAGACCGGTGGTGTCTTGTCATCTGCTTGCTTGCATCTGGGCAAGAAGAGATTCTAAAACACGAGTGGGAGGCGGAAATGGCTTGGAACACTGAGCCTTTCCTGCGTCTGGCAGTGGCTAGTGGCTCCCCTCCCTGGGGACGGAGGGGAGGAGTGAGCGCAGCCACAAGGAGACAGCACAACAGGCAGTGTTGGGACCAGGCAGCCCGCTTGGTGCACTTTCAGGAAGAAACCATGGTGTGTGCGCTCAGTCCCAGGGACCGTGTGCCTCTGAGCTCTGCCCAAAGACCTTATGTGGAAAGGGGAGTCGAGTCTCGTACAGAACAGTCTTAAGCCAGCCTCCCAGGTGACAGTGAAGGAGACAGCCGGGGCTCTGAGGCCACATGTTGCTCCAGCGTCACCCTGAAGGAGTTTCAGTGTTTGTGCTTCCAAATGGAATAGGACACTGCCCACCCATGAGGGGGACAGCGGGGACCCCTGCAGCTGCGAGGGTTCAGAAAAAAGTGACATGGACACTTGAGACAGTTGCTTACCACCCAGGCTCTGGTGGCCAGCTGACGAGCGCTTCCCTTCCTTTTAAGTTTTTTTGCCAATGCTGGAAAACTAAAAGCAAAATTTCAAATTGGAAAATTTCTAGCACTTTACACAGTGGATTTAAGGAATATGAAATCAGAAAAAGCCATCATTAAACACGAGTCCATAGGCCGCAGCAGTACCCTCTGCGGTGGGGCTCCTTCCAGCAGCTCAAGCAGCCTCTTGCTCAAAATAGAAGTGCGCCCATGCTGCCAACCTCGCTCTGCTCCTTCACGAAGATCTCAAAGTACTGGTAGATGATGGTGACTGCCAGCAGGATCCCAGTTCCAGACCCGATGGCACCCAGGAAGTCAGCCAGGACCGAGAGGGCCCCGATGCAGAGCCCGCCGAAGGCTGCGGCCGTGGGGATGTACCTGGGGGACAGGACATGGTCAGCTCTGGGCTCCAGGAAGGGCTGGACCCCCCCACCATGCAGGGGCCCACTGGCTGTCTCCCAGAGTGGGCTGAGACCAGAGCTGCCCCGCTGGTGGGCCACAAGTGACTGGGGACCATGACTGTCCGGTTAGCTTGGAAACGAGAGTGTAAACTATGGTGCCATGACTTTTCTTACATCGTGCAGTCTGAAGTGATACTCTAGACATACCGAGTTAGATGCATATGTTAAAATTAATCTCACTCAGTTCTTAAAAAACTGTGGCCGCTTGAAATTAAGATCTAGGGACCTGCCTGAGTGTGTTTCTGCAGCACTCAGCCGTCGATCAGGAGGCGTGCGGGGAAGAGAACGAGCATGACGGCCTCCTGCCTGCCGGCTGACCTGCCCACAGTTCGGTGGGGACGTTGGCTAAGTGCTGCCGGGCTGCTCTCCAGGGACAGTGGAGGAGCCGAGCAGTTGTGACAGACACTGCGACCCGGAAGGCCTACCTACAACACGTGCTGCCAATACTGCCCCCCACCTCTTCCCTCCACACCCAAGGCAATGGCCACTTCAGGCTACCCTGCGGTATGAGCACAGCGAGGGTCCCTGCTGCCAGCCCTATCTGCCATACGGTCTCCTTCTGCCCTCACTGGGCCATGCCTATTTCCCTGACCTGACTCGCCTTTGGGGGTAGGGAGCTCTACATTTTCACTTTTACATCTCCAGCGTCTACAAGGTCATACAAATTTAATGACACGGGAACCTTTTCTACCTAGAGCACAGTGATGAGACTCAGGGACGCAGAAAAGCAGAGTGCTTGGCCTGGACTGCAAGGCAGTGGGTGCGGTGCACTCACCGGTTGAGCTCATGGACCATGGACGTCTCGCGGTGGCCCCGCATCACCATCTGCTGCTCCTTCAGCTGCTTTGCAACCTGCATGAGGCCCAGGTGGAAGATGCACTCAATTTTATTCATTTATTATTTTTTTACAATGGTGGGGATTGTACCCAGGGCCTTTGCACAGAACTACACCCCGGCCCTTTTTATTTTTTTACTGACAGGTTTTTGTTAAGCTGTGATCCCCCTGCTTCAGCCCCCCAGTGCTGGGGTGACAAGTGTGCACCTCCAAGACTGGCTCCAATTTTAAACTGCATGCCGAGGGGAAGTGGACATTTCATTGTTCCTCTGCAGCACAAACTGTATTTACACAGAAAACTGCAAAACTGCCGTAAGGGCTCATGGATGAAGCTGAACCTTTCCTTTCAGTGACCCAGTGCTGGCTCACTGTTGGGTGACCAGCCTTCAGGTGTCAAGTGCATGCCACCAGTTGGGAAGAGCTGCTATCCATACCCACAGCGACAGCTTATCACTTCGCAGAAACCACCCCTACTCACATCTTTGGCGGAGGAGCCTGAGACCTCGATCCACGTCTTGGAGAAGAAGGCACAGGAGCCCAGCATGAACACGATGTACACCACAGCGTGGACCGGGTCTTCCAGCACGGAACCGAACGACTCCGGAGGGGACAGGTAGTAGCACAGGCCACCAACTGGGTAAGCACGTGCGGGGCCCCCGGAGGATGTATCCTAGGCAGAAGAACAGAAAGCCTGGGAATGCTGTCTCCCCAGACCTCAGCACAGGACCCAGAGTTCTGAGCAGAGGAAGGAGAATGGCTTCACACAGTACCCACAGGACGGCTTTCTTAGGGAAAAGAGATGACTTCTGGTGACAGTCCGGAGCAGGACAGGCACACACTACCCGCTGGAGGATGGTCCCCGCTGCCCTGCCACACTTACAGACCAGGTGCCCAGCAGGCTGACCAGCAGGTTGCCGCTGAAACGTGCTGACAGCATCTGGGAGATGACGTAGAGGTTGGACACCAGGGCGGACTGCAGGATGATGGGAATGTTGGAGGTGTAGAAGAGCTTGATCGGGTAGGTGTTGTACTGGCCACGGTAGCGTGCGGACTTGATGGGCAGGTCCACCCGGAAGCCCTGGGAAGCACAGAACATGGAGTCCTGCTGTCTAGTCGGCTCCCGAGGCAGAGGCAGCTAGCTGGGCTTCCTTGCCCACCGCTGTGCCTGGGACACACAGAGTGCTCCCAGCCAGACCAAGAACAGCAGTGACGATCCTGTGCCTGACAAAAGCCAAAGCCCACCACCGTATGGCACCCATGCAGCACAGACAAAAGAACACTGAGATATGAACCCAAATCCCAAAGCGGGTCTCCAGGTGTGGTTGGCCCCGTGCTGCTGTTACAGGAGCCGCACACCCCAGGATGGTCCTTTCCAACGCTGTGGTTTTCTGTGGTCCTTTAAATGCTGGGACGGAACCCAGGCTTTGCACATGCTAGGAAGTACTCTTCACTGAGCTACATTCCCTGCCCTTTTGATTTTTTATTTTGAGACACAGCTTCACGATGTAACCCAGGCTGGATGCACACCTTGTGATCCTCCTGCCTCAGCCTCCCCAGAAGCTGGGATTATAGGTGTTGGCACCATGCCCAGCCTTTACAATGCTTTTATCCATCAACAGAAAAACTGAACTTTAGTCTACAGTATTAACCTTTCCCTCTGAAAGGGCAGCAAGAGTGTCTGGTACTTTATGTTTACAACCTGCCCAGCCCTAGAGCATAGCTTAGAATATAAGGGATTTAGAATAAATTCTTGGGCTGGAGATTTAGCTCAGTGGTTCCACTGCCTGCCTCACAAATGCAAGGACCTGAGTTCAATCCCCAGTACCAAAAAGAAAAAAGAAATCTCAATAGAATAAAAAAAAAAAAAATTTTTTTTTT